TCACCCTCATAGCAGGAAGAATAGAGCACTGGCAACGACAGTAGGTAACCCCTGTGTGGGGTACCAAAAAGATAAAGACAGCAACCTTGCAGGTAGAGGTGTGCAGAGGAAGAAGCTGGAGGGTGGGAGGAGCACCGGCCCAGCAAAAAGCGGCCAGAAAACCAAACACATCAGCTGAGGTGCCGTCCATGTTCCAGCCGATGACACGTCCCTGATTCCCAGGACGAATACTGATGTGCAAAACTAAATCAAGTCACTGCGCCAAGAATTTGCTTTATTTTTTTTAAGGTGCCTGAGTAATTATGAGAACTAGAAGTGATCGGAATAATGTGACTAGGATTTGAACTGGTGAGTCAGCCCACGCACACAGCATCAACACGAAGATGATCCAGTACATTTTCTTTGCAATTCAGAAGAATGCTACAACTCATCCCCTAAATCACTGCTTTTTAAAAAATCGGCTCTAAAAAAAGAGACAACCATTTGAAAAGGCCGGGAGGAGGAAGACAAGAAGTGACTCATAACTCCAACAGCTTGTAGCCTCAAACCATAACAAGAATATAAACCTGTGGGCCTCGTCTGAAACAAAATTGAGCTATTGTTTCGGCTCTAACTCTGTGAGGTAAGGACCACAGCATTGCAAACATCTTACAAGCATTTGGGACAAGGTTACATATCTATGCCTTCAATGTGTGTGCAGTTACTTCCATAGCTTCCTGGCTATAAATCTGACATCTATAGTCATGGAGAAAAGACCATCCAAACGTAACAATTTCCATAACTCTGAAGAACTCTTAGATTTCAAGTCCACCCACTTCAAATCCCATACAGATCAATGCTCCCATGTTGGAAATATGTTTTAATGCAGGTAACAATATTTACCATTCAGCACGAGTATTTCATTTCATTCATCGTGATACCTACGGCTATGTGTGACACCTCTGAGATGGATGTACAAAGCAAACTAACTCTGCAAACCATCCTGAGATCTGACTCCAGAGAGAGGTGCAGCACCACAGCCTCTACTTCCCTGAATCTGCCAACCCCTCCCTTCCTCCTCACCCACTTACAAGAAGTCATCAATGAGACTGGGGGGTGAGGGACGGGGAGACAACTTTTTCACACATTTGTTTTCCAGAGTCAACTGTTTCCTTTCCACAAGGAGCATGTACACAAAGTTTGGGTGGCACTAGAGGCAGCTGGGCCTTTGCTTACTTACTGACTTTGTGAGGTTGTCCTAAGCTTTAATCTTCAGTGGAGCTTTTAGCTCTGTAGCAACAGGGACCTCCAAGAAAAGCATTGGGGCTGGAAAGAGTGTGCAGGACAGAACACGAGGTTGGAGCACAGTGTATTTGTTATCTGGGACCAGTAGCCCTGAAAATGCCACTCGTGAGTCCACAAACCTTCTAAATGCTGTCTTGTCCCGAGTCCAATCTTTAGTAACAGGAACGTGCAAGCTGCTTATGGTTTGCTCATCTGCAATTTTTAAAAAGTTACTGGCTCCTTGACCAACACAAGGGGCTGACATCTAAGTCAGCATTCACCTCCTTCATCAAGCAGCTTCACACTTACTAAGAAAATGTTAAGTTGGATTCTATGATGAAATAAAACAGTTAAGGAAATCTGGTATACTAATTAGCAAAGCAAAGCCTGAACTGAGTAACAACCCCCATAAGCAGAAGTTAGGAAGTCAGTAGGCATACGTACCAACAACTCCAAAGCCACAAAAGGTTTGACATGGTGTATATTTTTTAAAGACATCTCTTCTGCAGACACCAAATGAGTTTCGCAGGCTATATCACAAGGCAATTTCCTTAGTTCCACCAAATTAAGAATCCAGCCTGTCCCGAAAGAGCAGGGAGATTGCCTTCCACAGTTACAAGTCCAGTGTATGCACAGCCCCAGGAACAAGCTCCCGTTCAGAGACGTTCAGAGACACTTACCGCTGAATCCCAATCAATACACGAATTTCTTTAAAAATAAGATGCGAGCCTGTCTTTATTGAGAAGTTTTCTGTTTCCTCTCTACTTCGATTGGTATTTCCATTTAAAGTGCTTCCTGAAGCCAAACATTTACTCATTATTATTGAAATTATTTGGGTACCCTGTGAATGCCAAGAAGAAAAATGCAAGATCCTAAAAGGCGAGAGAGGGGAAGAAAAAAATGATCTAGGAAAAGGAGTGTCTGCCACTCCACTTGGCATCCTGCAGCGGCCAGCTCACTGGCTGGCTTCCTCCCCGACGCACATTCAGTCCCGACGAGTTGAGCAGACTCACAATCCCTGGCCGCACAACAATGAGTGGAGCTGCCGTTGCCCACGTCTCCCCAGAAGGCTCCGGTTCACTGCTGACGAGGCTGTTCTATGGCAGAGACACTGGCTTTCCCCAGTGAGGGGAGTGCTGGGCAGTAACAGCAGAAAGATACAAGGATGCGAGGAGGGGAGCAGGGAAGTAAAAACCTGAGTTCTGCAGACAAAGGCCCAATAAAATATAATATTAGCATCTATAACAACTCTCATCAGACAGTGCAAACCAAAACAGGACCACTGTCTACAAATCCAGATAACAGGCAACGGTTGATGACTGGCAGGCCACCCCGTAAGTTCGAGAGACCAGTCCACTGCTTTTCCAACCTATGCTGTACACTTAAAATGGAACTGTTTATGCCGTCCTCCTCTGTACGAAATGAGCACTGAAAATGCCACATGTGCTTCCACAATATCTTCTGATATTTCCATAAAATAATGAGACTAATTTGAAGAATCCTCTCCCCGTGAATCTTGATTAAAGAGAAAATGTGAAAGCAATACACTTAAGTAATTCAGCACCAAGAGCTGTTTTAACTCTTCCCTTTGAAAGTGGGTATGCCGGGGCATTTTTTTAAGTTCCAAAATGTGAAGAGATGCAGAGATTTCTGATCCTGCTATTCTTTGGTTTCTTTTAAGCAACAGTGGAAACCAAGTTGGCTCATCTAATTTAAGCCAGTAAAACCATTCTATGGTGGTTACAAGACCTGAAATTCCCAATGACCTTAAAGAGCAACTCCTATCAACTCAGCAGGAACAAAGCAAGTCAAGGGGGGGGGGGGATAGCAGGGAGGGGCTGAGGCTACACCAGCCCATAAGACAACCCTCCGATTCCTTTATTCTTCAATATCCAGGCTAGATCTAGCAAGGTTCACATAGAAAGAAAAACAATAATGGGCTTGCTGCATTCAAACACACACATCCCTCTCTCTGTCCAGACGCTCAGTAAGAAATTCATTAAGCCCTTTAAAAAAACCTGCACAGAGCACGGGGCTGAGCACACATTGGTCCGGGGCAGCAGGAACATATCACTCACCCTCCAAGAGCAACAGCTGGTGATAGGTGAGTGTCATCTAACAGGTGAGTGCGCCCCAAGTACGTGTTTGTGTGACCGTGACCCCCCCCAGCACAGCAGGGGGCCAGGACACACATTCAAGGCACTGTCCCAGACTCAGAGAAGCAAATGTGACCTGATTTCCAGGCTGACAGGGGGAAGTGAGCAGGGCTGTGGAGTTCGGATGGCTCCCGCTTTGCTGACACAGGTGGGGTGTTGACACCTAACCTTCGGACGAGGCAGACATAGCAGAAGTGCTTGTTCGGAGAGAATGCATGAGTGACAGGTGCTGTGAATCACACAACAGTGGTGCAGATGAGAAACTAGAGCTCTGAGGGGCAGGTAAGTGAGGGAGAAAACCCATCTGAACATTGACAAAATCAAAGAACTCCCACAAACGTTTTCTAATACAGACTTTGTCCCTTCAAGCACTGTCCAGAGCACACAATTATCCACCAGTGTAAACCTCAGTAGTGTTACCGGGTGGACTTACCCCGTATGGCCTGCCTCTGAGCCCCCTGGGGTACTAGCAAAGCCCCCACATCTTCAGCCAGGTGGAACAGTGTCTGCTCAGCACAGAGCCCTGGAAGCAGCTTCCTTCTCTGGCTACGGAACTAATATTACAAAACACTGGGATGTCCTGCAGAACCCCAGATTTGAAAGAGAAATATCCCGTGAACATCCCAAAAGGCAGCTAATACTGCACCTCAGTCCCCTGGTTTATTCCTTTCTGTGCCCTGCAAGTGTTAAAAAGGAAGACATAAAGTCAACATCGGCTCCTCCCTGCTGCTGAAATTGGCACGAATGAATTTACTTTCTGGCTGCCGGCCCTCACAAAACCGTTACACACACACACACACACACACACACACACACGCACACACAAAGTTCACCACGCTGCACTGCTCCAAATATAAATCCGAGACCAGCCGGCCCCTCCCCTCCCCACCACAGCCTGTTAGTGGCCTTTCGAAGGTGAGCCAGGTGAATACTAAATATATATTAAATATTAACATTTTAGAACTTTAGTGGCTTTTTTAAGACACAGCAAAACCCGATCTAAACTTATGACAGTTGAGCACATGATCCCATCATTAAGAGCAAATAAGAAACCGTACAGAACACTCCATGAAATCAGGGCTGCAAATCTGTCACCAATTCCAAATCCGAGGGATGAGCGCGACGCAAGGAACCTGGCCTGAAGGAGGAGGAGGTTGGAGACTCTCCCACCCTTCGCATCACAACACACACGAACAATAGTAGCACTACCTTCCCCAGCAGGACAGGCCGTTGGAAAACCAGGATGCCTTGCACATCGGTGATCAAACCCTCAAGTCCAACGACAAGTTTCCCATTAGAACAAGGCCAGAACACCGCAGGCCAAGCGGCGCGAAGACATCCCCAGCCTGGGCCGCGGGGGCAGAGCGCGGACGCGCACAAGGACACGGGCCCGCCAGGCCGGCCGCTCCATCCCGCGCCCCAGGCCCCGCCGCAGCGCAGCCGGGCGGCGACACGCACTGGCCCAGGTGAGGGCAGCGACACGCACCGCAAGGACCCCACTCCCCAGGGACCACGCGCCCTCCCACCCGCCCGCAGCGGCCTCCGGGAGACAGCGCGGCGCGGCCCGACCGGGCCTGTTACCTTCCGACAGCTCCAGCTCCAGCTCGGCCAGCCGCGCCCGCACCTCCAGCGGCAGCGCCATACCCTCCAGGCTGCGGTCCGCCATCGCGCCGCGCCCGCCTCTTTGTTCCAGGCCGCGGCTTGGCCGCTCCTGCGATCCCTGACCCGCACCGAGCGGCGGCACCGGCGGGCAGCGCTCCTCCTCCGGCACCTCCTACGCGCGGCCCCGCCAGGCGGCCTCGCGCCCGCGCCCCCGCGTTCCCGCGCGCCCCCGGCCCAGCGCCGTCCCGCCGCTGCTCCGCTGTTCCGCCGGGTGCTCCGTGGTGCGCGCCGCTGGGAGAGCGCAAACAGGGCGGGAGCTGCACGGCGGGGGCGCGCACCCGGGACGGGAGGGGCGGGCAGGCGAGGACCTAGTGACGGGGGCGCGCACCAGCAAGAACGCTGAGGGCGGGAGCTTGTGGGGTGCGCTAGGGGATCTGGGGATGGCAGGGTGAGAATGGTGTGCAGCACGGGGGCGCGCACCGGGATAGTGACGCGCATCAGGGCGGGGACGGGCGGGCCAGCGTAGCGCGCGCTCCCAGGGCACACGCACCGGCCTCGCCGGCCCTGCCGGCCCTCCCTGCCCCGCCCAGCCCTCGCCTCTCTCTGGTTCGAAGGAAAAAAAATACCTGCTGGAGATCGGCTTTAACGCGCAGGTTGAAACTTCAAGTATTCTGGGTCTTCGAGGGCTGAATTTGTGTGTGTGTGTGAATAGTTTCTTATGGGGAGAGGAGGGCGGGGACAGCTTGGGCCTTGGAGCGAGCACCGGGGCTGGAAGTTCCTAACTCTGATTGCAGAATCCACCAGCCTGTGCTCTTGGCTAATCAGTGTGTCTGCCTGGCCTTGTTCCTCGCCCGCGAAAAGGAGGCTGGAAGAGAGGTGGAGTCAGCTACTGTCCACATCCATGTCAGCCTAAAAGGTCGTGGCCAGTTTGCGCAGTCCCCAGCGTCCACCTTTCGTAGGCTGGGGGCTCCTGTCGTCCTCAGCTGGCCCACGCCCTCGTCCTGACCGCCAATATACAGTCCTTTCCTCTTCCAATCGGCCACGTTATCAGCATTACCTCTGAGGCGATTACCGGATATGTGCCTCTGGGCCTGATCCTTTGGGGGAGGTTATCTCATGCCTACAGCTGTCCAACTGCACCACCTCACCAAGATACCCTGATACCCCGAACTCACAAACCCAAAATTCAGCCAGCACCTTCTCCTGACTTCTAACTACTTGCACCAGTTTCCTAATTCTCCAGGACACAGAGAGTCGCCAGAGGCTCTTGCCTTCCTCTGCCTTCCCAATCCTCTCTGGGCTGTCAAAGTCTTGGTCACCTGACCTCATTTTCATTCTTGTAACCACTCTTTCCAGTTCAGCCTGTGCGCATGCCTGGCACATTCCAAGAAACTCCTGGTCGTTTTCCCACCGGCTACTTAACCCTGAAGAGCAGACAACGCCCAGAAGCTCTGTAGCGTTCTTTCCCCTTTCATAAGTAGGCAATTGTACTTACCACACTTGCTTAGCTGGAGACACCAGACCCCCCCACACACACACCGCCCGGCTCCAAACTGCAGCCCACCACATGTCCCATGCTCTCCCAAAACACCTCCTGAAGGCCTTTTGCACCTCCCTTCAGGGTGTGCCCTCATCCAGGGTGCTTACTCTCCTCTCTGCCCACACCCCCCACATCCACCCCTAATGTCAGAGATTTTTCTAGAAAAATCTCTCCCCCCTCCCTGCCGTGCTCCCAAATGCCTGTGCTTTAAGTTTTGTGGACATATGGACACTGTTGGCTCCCCCATCACCTCTCTCCTTTTCATGATAAGCCCTTCATGCTACAGCTGAAAGGTCTTAGAGAAATAAAATGCAGCAGAACCAGGATTCAAACCCCAGTCTGCAGAACAAAGCACTGGATCCATTACAGCAAAGTGAGATTTCATACTTCACATAGTAAGCAGTATCAAGTTGCTGTAGGGTAGGAGGGTGCCAAAATAAAAATATATATTCCCTTTTCAATGTACAGATGGGCTTTGATCATTTACGGACGATGCTGTAACTGAGGCTGGTTCCAAAGAAGACTACTATTTTGAATTAAACACATTGATACCACACTGAGATTCTGAATGAAGGTTTATTTTAACAGGTCTTTGTGTAACTTCAGAGTGCAGATTGGACAGGGTACTCAAGGAATTTCTGATGGCCTGATAGACGTCTTTATCTGGAAATCCTGTCCTGTTCTCAAAACTCATTATATCCAAAATCAGACTCTTCTTAACTGCCAATCCTCAGTCTCTGCTCATTATCTCTGATCATGGCCTCCCTTGCTCCCTGTCACCTATGCTGTGAACCACGCCTGTTATCAGGCGTCAGTAACTTCTACCTACAGCCTTTCTCTGACGCCTCTCTCTCCTCCCCTCTGCCCACTGCCACTGCCTAATTCAGGCCTTCAGAGCACACACTCCACCACCACCCCACATGGTTTTTTCTTTGTAATCTCTCCTACAATGGCTGCCAGATTGACAGGAGAACTCAAGAGTTAAAGATTTTAGCCTTTGCTATAGTTGATAGGCTTAAGTGATTAATGCACTGGGAGACTGTTATTCCAGGGACAGGAATGCATGAGCACGTGACTCCAGGAGGTAGACAAGCAATTCGACCTTTGTGCCTCAGGGGGTATGCAAGCCTCGGAGACCGTATCTAAGTCATTGCGTTCCAGAGGGACCACCAGTGCTGCAGTTGAAGAATTGTCGATCAACAGATAAAGAAGTGCTAGGAAAATCGCTTCCAGACTGCAACTCTTATCCAATTAACCTTTTCCCAAACCCTTTATATACCCTTTCTTCTCCTTATAAAAAGGTTGGCTTGAAATTAGATGTTAGGGTGGTTTTTGACTGTACATAACCCACCGCCGCCTCCTCAGATTGCTGACCATCTGAATAAGGTACCCATAGATGCAATCTTTGTCTCTATGTATTGGTTCTGGTAGTGACAGGCAGTACAAATGCCGACTTTTGCAGTTTCAAGATCACTTGTTTTAAAGTGCCACTTTGAATAGGAGACAGTCTGGGCTGTGCACTATACAGTGGTTCTCTGCCTACAAACCTGAGAACTCCGTGCTTGGACACTGAAGGCTTCATGGGCCCTAACACAGAGCTTTCTTCTCTACCATCTGTTCTGCAGCCCCCTGCCAGGCACCTGCCTGTGTTCTCCTCAAGAATTCTTGGTTGCCTATGTCTGTTTCTATAGACACGTTCCCCCTTCTCGTCATACTCTCTCCCTTATTTTCCAGCCCAAGGCACAACCACACATCAGATTTTACCCCTTCAAGTCCTGGTTCAAGCGCTGCTTTTTCCATGAAGCCTTCCGTCCTAGTCTCCGGTTTGGAAAGGTGCTCTCCCACCTCTGGAATCACACACTTCTTTTCTGCCTGGTGCACCAGATTAGCAGACCATCTGTGCATGTCCTATGGCAGCTAGTTCATCTATAATTCTTCCACAGTGTTGAGGGACCTGCAAACAGCATGTTGTTTCTCAAGGTGCAGCCTGGCACTGGAAAAGAGAAAGACTGTTCTCCTCATCTCTTCTGCCCCAGTCAGGACAGCCTCAGCGGATGTAAGGCTTAGTGGAAATCCTGATATATATGGTCATCTGTATCTATATGTATAAAAACCTGGTTCAAATGTGCGACAAGGTGGGCACAATAATACCCAATAGAAGTTTATTACAATAAATTCAATGGGCACGAAGGGCTATTTGCCTCATAATCTCTGCCACAGCTCCCGGAAGTGTGTTCAATTGTCTTCAGAAAGCTGCTAGAAAATCTTATGGCTGCTGCTTGGGAGGGGTCACACATCATAAGCATTTGTTAACATTTGAGCATAGTTTTAATTTGTCAAATAAGCCAGCTTTCGCTGTAACGAAACCCAGAGGGTCTGAGACACACTACAAACATCCGGGTGTCCAGGAGAAAGAGGAAGGCTCCCCGGTGGGGGCCCTGGCCCACTAGATGGTGGCCTGCCAGGGGCCAGCGGATTGAAGAAATGCTAAAATGTGACATTCAGAGCTACCTCTGCTCCTCTGTCCTTTTGCCCAGATAAGCCCTGAAGACAATTGTTTTGAGTTCCACAGAGGGGCAGCTTCCAAAAGTTAATTAATCAAGTAATCATCATGCAAACTAGGATTTGGAAACCTCTATCTATATCTTGCTCTCTCTGATCTGGGTAATTTGTGACCACTGTGTACCTACCTACCTCTGGGTTTCCTGTTTCACTGACTCCCAAGTCAATTCTGAGTAAAAACTTAGCCTGGTTAGGATGGGAGAGAGTAGTAAAAGAAGGTATTCAGCCAGTGGCCTCCCAAGGCGTCCTCACAGCCAGACGGCTGACTCGTTCACGAGGCCGGGGGTGGGGGGCGCACACCTTCACTTCCTGAGTCTTACCGCTGTTAGGAGTTGATGATCTCACTCCTCATCAGATTCGTGTAGAATTTACTCATGCTCTGATCTCACCTGTGTATCCCAATTTTGTAAATTTTTAACCTTTTCCAAAGCCACTAGGAAGAGTTTGTTGTGAAATACTGTAGTGGGAGTTCTTTAAGGTCTCGTATCCTAAGTCCTGGGGCTAAGGATGCTTACAGCCTTGTTAAGACACAGTCTTCTTAAGCGGAAGTCTCTCTACAGAACTGTGCCTGGCAATTCATGCTCTTGGTTATGTTTCATTTTGGTCTCCCCACAATATCAGAAATGCCACAGTTGGGTTTAAAGAAAGGACAAAAGTGAATAATCTGATACAGAAAATTTGGGTTTAGTTACTTAGAACTTAGGCAGCAGCTTGAACTTTTGAATGAAACCAGTCTATGCATGCAAGAGATCATTAACTTTTTCATAACATTTTTTACATCATTATGGAGTGAATGTGAAGTGACTAAGTTGGGTGAACCGTGTGTGCTAAGCTTACTATCTTCCTCTGGAAATAACTATCCAAGCTATTTACCTAACTAAGAACCGGTCTATCAGTAAAGGAGAAGCAGGAAGGGATCCCACATTAATTTAATTTCCATACCACTACTGGAAGTGCTCAGAATTCAGCTGTTAAAGATGTCTCAATGAAACAACAAGTGTGTAAATTTGTCTTGGACAAATAACCTAGTGTTTCTTTGTATATGTTATTATAAATCCATATGCAATTACCAATAATGTAATCATTTCTGATCATATTCATGAACTCTTATTAGCACAAAAGAACAAATTATCCCAAATTTAATCCTGTTTGGTCTTAGACTGCAT